GAGAGAGAGAGAGAGAGAGAGAGAGAGAGAGAGAGAGAGAGAGAGAGAGAGAGAGAGAGAGAGAGAGTCCACCTTCGTGGGATTGCAAGCAAATCTTGACCGAGAGTGTGAGAGAGAGAATCCGGGAAGAGAATCAGGAGGGGCACTTTAGAAGAGTGCAGTGCCCACCTCGAGTAGCACAACCGAGTTGCGAGGCGAGCCGCCCGATTCCTGGATCCGTTTGAGCATCTTTGTGACCAAACGCTTGCGATTTCCGGCATGCATGGACATTGGCACGGGATGGGTCCCTGGGCCCATCCAAAATACTCCAGGTCTTGCTTCCGTTGCACCCCCGTTCAACAATGCCCCCGTCTTCGGCGCCATCACCATCGCCGCCATCACCTTCGCCGCCATCACCACCGCCTCTGCTTGTCTGTACCGAGTGCCACAGCACTGCTCGCGGATCGCTCGATGACCAGTCCAGCCCCGCCACCACAGCTGACCTCAACAAGGACGACGCAGAGCTGCGCAGGAAGGTGATGATCAGCTACCAACCACACGCACACGGACACGCACAGTCGTGCTTTTCTCGTGAGGCTTTTTTTATATACTGAACACGACAACAGAACACACCGTGTCTATAGAACGGAATGGCCGGCGATGAACTGGCCTGAAGATCCCGAGGCAACGGATTTTTAGTTCCGCACCTGGGGTGATATTCCCCGCCGAAGGTTACAGCGATATTGCCGCGGAACTGGCGCCTCCGCCGCTGGCTGCAGGGATCTGCATGGCCCCGACGTTCCTTCCCGCTTTCCAAGCTCCGGTCCATCGTCAGCGTAAAGTACATTTGAATGTCCTTCTGAACGTTTCGCTAAACACAAAACAACAACCGATCATTCCGCCACCGGTAGTTTCTTTGGGACCACTTCTCGATTTATCACGAGTGTCATCCTTGCGCAGGGGCCATGCTACCTGTAGTTTCTTCAGTTCCTGGGCCGTGGTCCCTAGGGGCCATGCTACCGGTAGTTTCTTCAGTTCCTGGGCCGTGGTCCCAGGAGCGAAGGGGATAGGATAGAAATCCTGAATGTGGCTATAGAAATCCTGAATGTGGCGATGTTCGCAGCCAGGTATGGCTACGCTTAGGGGGTTGCGACTTTCTGCACATTTGCGCAAAAAAGCGTCCAGATTCAGGCACCGAGGAAACTTTCCTTTTCGAGACATGTTTGTAGATGGAAAAAGCAGCATGTACAGCGTCGTTGCCACGTCGTTGCCTAGTCGGGAAACCCGGCAATGTACAGCAACGAGGCTGTACACAATAATGGGCATATGGGCATATATAATATGGGCATTAATGGGCATATAGACCGTATATAATGGACATTAATGGGCATATAGACGGTTTGGGGGGGGAGTGGTGCACAACTACCGTCTTAACCCGAAAACAACGTACGTACCTTGTATTCAACTTACCTCTGAAAAATGGCCTCTGAGAAATCACACCGTTTTTTTCGAATAGAACGTACCCTCGAATACAACATACCGTACAAGGAAAAAGAAAAAGCAAAAAAAAGAAGAGGCCCTCGATTACAACGAAGAAAAAGAAAAAGAAAAAAAAAAACGGCTACAAGGAAAAATAACATCTCCACTTACTTCTGTATGTGGACTGAGTGTTGCGCCAAATACTGTCTGTTTTAAGTTTGTATTCGTAGGCGGGAAATCCAGTCCTCCTTGCAAAGTCTGGCCCCGACAGTGTTCAACGGGGACCTCCCCCGACAGACAGCAACCCAGATACAGGGGACCTCCCGACACGCCAGATACCATGCTCCCCCTCTTTCATTTTTCTTATTTTTCATATTTTTTCTTTTACTAAATTTTTAAATTTTTTGTATCTTTGCCCTGGAAAAGTTGTACCCCAATATTCGTTGTACAACGTACGTACGTTGTATTCGAATACAACGTACCTGATGTATTCGTATACAACGTACGTACGTTGTTTTCGGGTTAAGACGGTAGGCCTAATAAAACTGAAAAATATAGCCCTTCGTTATGCATCGGGAGATCGACGGAGTTCGGTCAAAATCGTTTTTTGGATTGGAGTGGACAGTTTATTTTTTTCTTTTTAGGAAATTTTGGGAAAGTGGACAGAGTTGCGTTTGCGGTTAGATGCATGTTTGGTGGCGGTCGTCGAAGAACGGTGGTGTGCGTCCGGTCCCAACCGTGCTTTCCATATATAGGAAGCACAGTCCGTTATTCGACCGTTCGTTCTCCAACGAGGTCGACGGAAGGGCACAAGGTCGGTCGGTCCACGGTTTTCCTCCCCCCCCCATTCACCAGCACTTTTCGACAGAACACGGTCGGGTTCGTGCACGAAATTTTTACGAATCCTTACTTCGCTTGTGCTGCGGGCTTTTCAGGTCGGTCAGTCCTCACTTCGTTCTGGCAGTCGCTTGCTGCTGCCCACCGGCAGATTTCCAGAAACACGTCCAGGTTCAATCATTGAAGTTTGCTTCCTGTCTCTTCCCGTCGGCCGGCCTCGCCAGTTCTCGATGCAGCGTTTGGCCATGCAGTGCAGTCAGGTAGAATGCGCGGGGAGACTTCGAAATCGCGCCGGCGACGCAGGAACGAGCATGGTGGGTTGGCGGCAGCATGAGGGCTGGTTGAGTTGTTGTGCTGAAGGCTGGTGGAGTTGTCGAAGGTTGAGCCTGTGATCAGTCGGACGGATCGAGGTGTGGACATGGCGGAGGGAGAACGTGAGGGCGAATGTACAATGTGGCGATTTGTGGACCCGGCGAGCATCATGGATCGACCCAGTGTCCTGTGCATTGTTTTTAGGGTTGCTGTGTGTGTGTGCATGTGCGGTTGCGGTTACGGTTACGTTGTGGAGTGTAGCTTGTGGTTAAGAGGAAGGAGGAAACAACATGTGCATAGTATGACAAGGGAGATATGGCATGTGATATGTGTGGATATGCACGTGGGCGGGGTCAGTGCACGCAACTACCTTTGGGGGAAACAATCGGGGGTGGCCTTAGTGTGCACGTCAGTATCGGCCAGAGGTTTGGAGGTGCAGAGATTGGTGTGGGGAGGTCGGTGGTAGGCTGTATATATGCGGGTCGCTGGCAGGATGTGTTATATTCGTGTTTTACTTGCGATCCTGCTGCTTTTTGAGCGAACAGCAATCGTCCTTCGTCATCGCCGAGTTTTTCGTTGCCCTTGGTCGGTTTTGCCGAAGGTATGTTTGTCTCCCTCTCTCTCCTTCTCTCTCACTTCTGTCTGATTACCTCGTGTGTGCTCGGTAACTGTTTGAGCCACGTGGAAGACCCGCTGAAGTGCTCATGTGAGCGGCACTTTTTCTCCCACGCTTTCTTGTTATCAGCCTTTGCCGCATCCACGCTTTTTCTGTGAGACGAGAGACACGGATGCAACGGCAGTCACAAACACATATCCATAAACGCACATACACACACAC